TTTGATTTATTTTTATCAAGCTTTTAGGTGTGTTTGTTCAGACAATTTATTTTATTCTTACTTATAATGTTGTTACATTTTTATCATTTTCATATAGGTTGACGTGTGCAATATAGTAAAATAAATAAAAACATAAATGCTGCCATCAAAGCAGAATATGAAGGGAGATTAATCTATCAGTCTTACCAATATATTATTGGATACAAGTCTGCAAAATCCGACTAAGTAATAAGGGAGACAATTACGCAGGGCTTATATAATACACGTTAAACGGAATACATGTATATGCTTCAATTAATTTTTTTCTTTCTTAGAAAAATACGAGCATCCAATCAATCAGGTAAATTAATAAACATGTCATTAACTCGTGGCATCATTTGTAACTGTTTGAGTTTAGCGCCAGTATCAGGACAACTAATTGAATGACATGTCCGTAGACAACACCACCAACATGTCCCTTAATGATAATAAGTGAACAAACTTTCCGGAAAACATGTACAGGAAATTGAGCGAACTTGTAAAAGGAGAATAGTTCAGTTCACTCTGTCTACAAATCCACGAACGAATTTGTTTACAATATATCTTAAAGAGATTAAAACCCGATGTGAAAAATAGAATTTATTCTTCAGATCATTCTTTGGTATGATCTAACCCCACTTGTTTTGTTTCCATCTTTACTGGTGAAGACAGACGTCAGGTGCCAATTCGTGCATTAGGTACAAACGACCCTCCGTACACTTACTAGCCGGAAAGCTTCCGCACTTGAAAAAACTAAAAGTTCCTGACGAGATTCGAACTCACATGAAGTAATGAAGTATTGTACTAAACAAGGTAAATAGAAATATTAAGAATACAAAAGCTAAATGCAGCAAATACAGTAGAACATTTGTGAGGCCAGGGTACAGAAAGGAAAAAAAACATTGATATATAGGAAATTTAGCTTTTAAAAATGAAGTTACGTAATTATGAATGTATTTCTCATTCAATATTGTTAAAGGTGTGGTTCCAAAACAGAAGAGCAAAATGGCGGAAGGAATAACGTAAGACCAGAAGTAATGCTGCTTTACGTTACTACAATCACATGCCGATAAATGACAGTGTCGCTGCAGATTTGAATAGACGATAACGTCAGACCGCCACGTGCGCGCCGCCGGTTATTCCGCCATTTCTTGGTGGTATAGCGATTCACGAGAATTCCATGCAAGCTTTTGGTATCTCACGCTCTTAGACACTCTGGACTTTTCGAATAGTAAATTGTTGTTTTTGAAAAGGAACTCTGTTGTGTATTCTAATATAAAAACAATCATTGCTTTGCTAATGATTAAAATCAGCCAATTAAGTTTATTAAACAAACCAATGAAATTACCGCAAATAAGATAGAATCATTGAACGCGGCATAAAAGTTCCGCCTTGTATTATTTCTATATTATGTATTATTTGTTTGCTGAGGTTTAATTTATTTTAATTTATATTTATCTTCATTTTCTATGTGTGGTAATCCATGTTTCATAGCAAGATATATTTTCCATATCAAAGGTACCTGTTATAGGTTATTTTAATCATGTACGACACGCATTCTTTAAAATTTATGTTTCTTGCAGAGTGCCACCTGGCGGCGATCTTCGGAATCAGCATCATCATAATTTGCTCACACCACCAAAGTGAAACCCAATCTGGTGATACGGCACCAAAATAAAACTCGATCTTGGCTGTTAATTGTCATTTGCCGTTGTCTTGTTTAAAAAAAAGGACTTTTGAATATTGAATGTTGGAGATTAGCCATTATAAAAAGAAATACAGTTGAAATTAATTTCACATTACAGCGTGACGCAGCGAAATATGTGTCATGTATATTTTGGAAAATATGTTTATTTATAAAAGTTATAATTTCCAAAAAGTCACTCTATGGCTATCTTTTTATTCATTTGACATAAGTACAGTTAAAGTGATTTAGTATTTTGTATGGAAGTCAAAATACATGAACTACTATTTGTACAATTTGCTTCTTTAATGACAAATTATATTTCGTATTTATCGCTATTTTTTCAGGTAACAAGCATCTAACATTCTCCAAAACCAAAATTTAAAAATTAAAAAACACATGTTTTTGTCTATGAGACATAATGTGCCTTTCATACTATCTCGTTAAATTGGCACGATGTAAACACATAAAACATAAGATCAGCCACTAAGAAGGATAGTGTTTACTTCCATGAAATCTGTCAGACTAAGTAACCTCACTATTCGATTTCGTCAAGAGTGAGATGTGCACAGTACAATTTATGAAAAGCGAAAACGTTTAATTTTTTATCTTTGTAAGTTTTTATCACCAACCAATACTATTTTCTAGATCTTATTCTATTGGTAAAACTATGGAAAAAAATGTTTGTTTATTTTTATCAAGCTACTAGGTGTGTTTGTGTTTGTATTTTTTTGTAACATACAATGCTTTGACAGTTTTATCATTTTCATATAGGTTAAAATGTGCAATATGAACAACAGTTATTATTTGTGTATATATTTGATTTAAAGATAAAATTATCACTTGTGTCTGAAAGAAAATATTTTATAAATGAAATGTGGTGTTTTTTTTTGTTTTTATTTTACCAAAAAGATGAAAGATCTTCTGACGTTAATTTTTAAATAAATAAATGCCACAATCAAGCAGAATACGAAGGGAGATTAATCTACCAGTCTTACCAATACATTACTGGGCGACTTATCTGCAAAAACCGACTTAATTAATTAACAGCAGCCGATGTAAAAATTGAAATTTATTTTTCATATAATCATTTAATATGATCTAACCACACTTTGGTTTGTTTTCATCTTTACTGTTGAAGGAAGACATTAGGTGCCCTTATGTACACTAAGCTAGCCAGAAAGCATCACCACTTGGAAGAACTAAACGTTTCTAACGAGATTCAAAGTCCCATCGGTGAATGGCAAGTTATTTGAAGTAGATAACATTAACCACTTGGCCATTGAAGACCATTCGAATGCGACCCTTTTGTATGAGGATGTGGTATGTTTCGAATTCCCAGCGCTTCGCCGTCGACGAATTTATGATAATGATGATGATGATGGCGATGATGAGCATTGTGTTGTTGTGTTTTTTGTTTTTCTTTTATCTTTTTATTTTATTTTATTTCACATTAACTGTTAAGCTCTACACGTATGAGGTCATTCATAATGCATTAAATTCTATTCAATTTTCAAATGTATTATTCGCCAAATAAATAGGTTTGTGCACGTGCTTTATTAAATTGTCATGTTTTTCTATTTCAAGATAAAGGATAAAGATCAGCATAAAAACACAACCGAACAATATTTTGTTCAAATTTGACTCAATGTTATGGTTTTTACTTGTGGGTAATAATCGTTTGCTTGAATAACAAGATCTTACGACTTGAAGTAAGGACAAAATTAAAGACATGCGGGTGTCGACGTGTATTTTATGCTCTTAAAGGTGGTTCTGTAATTAATATATAACTTTCTCTATTTAATTCCAGTTCATTTTCAAAGGTATTAGTTTCAAGATAATGACATTTGTAGAGTAAACACAACCTATTAGACTTATAATGTTTAAAACAGTGTGTGCTTACAATATTAAACAATTGTTATCCATATCCGTTAAACATTACTAGTGGTTCATTTGCGCATTACAAATTAGTATATATTCTCTATAACTCATTGTATATTCTCAGTCGGAAGAAAAAGAATAGACACAATAAAGAATAGACACAATAAAGAATAGACACCATAAAGAAACAACACAATAAAGAAAACAATAAATAACGAATAAGCACAAGAAAGAATAAACACAATTAAGAATGAACACACTAAAATGAACACAATAAAGAAGAAACCTAATAAAAACACATAATAAGGAATGGACTCAATCAAAATAAACACAATAAAGAATAAACACAATCAAAATACAGCTTGTTTGCCTTTCAGGAAATGAACGAATATTTGTTGTAATATTGTGAGTTGGGCATATGTTTAATTATTCAAATGAGAAATATCTTCTATAAATATTTAGTTTAGACAAAAATTCTTTTTAGAACAATTTAAATTTAACAAAATATTTCATTTTGATAACCTTTCTGTCAAAGAATATACACACTTTGTATAATAAATAATAGGCTCTATGCAATTCTTCATTTCAGTAAAATGTATACGTATATATGATTAATTATGGTAAGTTTTTACTAAAAGTGTATCCACTCCATGTCAGACGGCATCACAATATGATACAAGTCATATATGTTTCAACATATTCAACATGAAATCAAACAGTACCTAATGATCAACACTACTTTTTATTCATTTCTTACTTTCAGATTTGGATATGCTGAATATAAAAGGATATAATGTGTACACTCGAAATAAATGAGTGTATGGAAGCTTTTAAGAACGCACATAACTGCAAAACTGAAAATGTTGCAGACTCGGTTTTACTGAGCCTGTTCATGGACAGTATTGTAAAGCGCAAGCTGTACAGTCCGCACCCCTAAGCATTAGACCAAACTTTCATAGGTGTATCTTAATCAATTATTTATTTATGTTCTTTTATTTGATTTCCTTGTCGGTTACTATTACCGTTTATGTTATATTTTAGTGATATGCTTGTTCATGCTCTCCCTTGTGCCCTGTCCAGTTTTTTTTGGGGTCCTCCTGGGCTCCTTGCCGCTGGTTCTTGTTACTGTGCCATGTGGGGGTTGCGTTCATTGAACGCCGCCTTTCCTTGTTGATCGTGTTTATCATATAACATGTAAACAGTAATGGGCAAGGAAAATCTTTTACAAAGTTACAATTCAAAACAAATACATTGTATCTCAATAATACTTTATTCAATTCCTCATAGTATATCATGGGCATTTCAGTGTAGTTAGATGACACATTCTGTATTTGCTCGCTTAAACTACTAGGGGTCATTTCTAATGAAAGTAAGTAAAACTTACTAATATTTACATAATAATTTCCAAAGCTGTGAGTAATACAGATATTTTATTACGATAAACAATGATTTAAGGCATAAAACAAAAGAGAAGTAAAACTTGTAATATATTTTATAATATATTAATTGGTAACAAATTTTTTATACAATTCACACAGTCATCATTAAATAATGCGGTGTATAAATATAGTTAGCTCTCTCATAAACACATACATGTACACTATTTTGTCACTGAAGACTTTTTATGAACAATACAAATGAATTGAATTCATTCATCATAAATGTCTTTCTTTTTTAAGTTTCACCATTGAACCGTAAATACTTTTATAAATGACTCGTTAATTTCACCTGTTTCATCTCTTCCAGAATAAGACACATAAAGTTTTTTTGTTTTCTTACAGTATGCAACAGCACTCGCGTACCATCCACAAACATTCTCATTTATCGTTATATTACATGGCTTACAGCTGTCTGATATTCTACGTAAATTGTCGTCACTATCTTGATACAAACAAACAAGCAATGTGCCATCATTTAATTCACAAATACCCTCTAGATTTCCTGCTTGATAGGTATTTATAACATTGCCCTGCCAGTCTAGTTGTTTTACAGCCATCACATAATAACCACTGTCACTAACATATATAGACGTTCCCGCTGTATTCACGGTGACATAATGAGGAAAGCTGAACAGACTATTATCTCCACTAAAACTTTGCAATATTTTACCTTGTAGGTCAAGAACTAAAACTTTTCCTTGATTACCACATGACACAACAAGCTTATCTTTGCTGTAAGCAATACCGAGACATGTCACGCTGATATTCACTTTACGATCAGAAACTATGTGTTGTTTCTTTAGTGACATAAAATGGACGCTTCCATCGTCAGGTACAGTCACGACAAATCTAATATCTGTAATAGCTGCAACATCATACGGTGATTTTTTAAATTTCATTTCTGAAACAATTTTTTTTCTGTACTGTATCATAACATTTTACATTGCAGTTATCATATTCACAAACCACTATCTTATTCGGCTGAATAACCTCTATCCCAGTTATGTCACATTTATTACTATCCGATGCGGATTTCATATCTATTTCCTCGACAACTTCAAGATTTAGAGACGTATCCTCGGGTGGTGTTGATGTTTCTTTCATCATTGCATCATTTTCACTATTGGACGATTTAACAATTTCTCCTAACTGCTTATACTTTTCTAACATATCAATAATTGCCTGATGCTTGACAAAGCTTACTGTTTCATTATTGTTTATTCGACTATGTTGTTTTGCTTTCATCTTTATTTGAATCAGTCGTTTCTTGGCTACTTTCATTTCAACATACAGTTTGTCAAGACAGTTCCTTTGTATCAGGTTGTCTAAGCATACTTGTTTCTTTACCGTTTCGTCTTTTATGTCTTCTATACCTGTTGACAAACTCTTCAGAATCATTTGTGTTTTATCAGAGATTCTCTCCGCGTCCTCGACAACAATCTTTTCCATATCGTCGAGACGTGTATTTATTTCCTTTCTGAATTGATGAATTGCCTTTATAACCTTATCATGATTTTCAGAAATGGCTTTAATCTCATCTTTTGCTCTCTTTATACTTAATTTACAAACTTCCTCAAGTGATTTCATTTCCGCCATTAACTCATTGAGTTCCTCACTGTCTAGAATATGTTTTGAAAGTTTCGGTATGTATTCCACCTTACAGGTCCTATGATCTAACGTTACACAAACACTGCAAACTACGATGTCGTGATCTCTACAGTAATATTTCTGTTTTTCGTCTTGATGATCATCACAGCTTTCGAAGTTGTCTTGATATAATTGAACGGTATGAGTTGTTGGCATGGAGTCTTCATCAAGAAGAACATGGTTACGTGTAGGTGCTGGTTTCTTATGATGCTTGTAACAGGTTTTACAAAGATGTTCATTGCAAGTTGTACAGAACCCTTTAGCTGGAACCCGTTTACCATCTCTATCACATGGGATACAGAATAATACAAAGTCTTCAGCAGACCCATGTGATACCGAATATGTCAATTTAGTTCTTCGCTTGCCAGAAACCTCCATTTTTATTCTACAATGAAAAATTTCGGATTACTTCATTTTAATTCTTGGTGATTACTATTTTACTAATGTAATTTACAACATAAAAAACTCCTAGGAAACCTTTTCGTTTTACTCAGTACATTGATTTGTCAGTTAAAATCAATTATAGTAGTTTTAAAAAAAAATGTTCTAAGATTTTATAAAATGTAAAAAATAATAAGTAACGACTGATTTTTGCAGTATTTATCATAATATTTATATTGCGATACTATAAGGTTTTTTTGTCCACATTTACTTCTCTTTGCTTATCGAATTTGGTTGAAAGTGCCGTTTTTAATGTGTTGATTACTTTCTATGCTCACTTGCCAATATTTTACTTTTTAATACTTTTTTCAAACTTTTCATGAAAATAAGCATGAATTTGGAGGCATGTCGCTTTAAAGTAAGACTATCCATTCTCTCAACAAAAATGTAACTGAGTTTTGAAATCATGCCAAGATATGGATATCTGATATATTTGTACACAATGATAAACGTGGATATTTAATATCATAAAGTAATTTCAAACTTGTATTACCAAACAGGTTAAAACAAGTTTTCCTCTTCTCTCTCATTCAATACCAATGTAAATTAAACTTTAAATAATATTACTTATATCAAATATACCTATACATTTCTGTATTTTTACTAAATGAATTTAAAGAAATTAATAGATAGTCATCGAACTTTCCTCAACGTTTAATTACTGAATCATTAAGAAGATCGTTGTATTTTAATTTGTTGATTGAATGTGTATGTTTAACTTCTAGATCTACTTTATCAATATAATCTCATTTAAATAAAAAATAATAATCATTGTTTTGTTAAATGAAAGGAAAAATGTAAAAAGAATAAGTAACAAACCTTAGATAGCCTATTTTTTCCAAACTTTAAATCTAGAAATTTTTCACTGCAAGTTAAACCTTCGCCGCCATTATGTCCTCTGTAATATCGGGTATAGCGGCCGGAATGCGGAAGTTTCAATGTAACTTAAGCAGGTAACAAAATCAATATTAAACGTAAAACAGACGTGTTTTGATAGGTAGTCCAAAACATTAGCCGTGAAAAGTTATTTAACATGTCATATTTATTATTGTATAATGTAAAATATTAGATTAATGAATGAAAGAAAAACATGAAAAAGGTTACGTTATAGATCTTATAATAAGGGCTAGTCACGGGTTGGAATTTTATCATGAAATTCAGACCAATTCATTAGTCGAAGTCCCGATGTGTCGAAGTTTTTACGAAATGCCCTCGAACTTCGACTTACCGAAGTTCTACTGTATGTTATTTTTACATTGGTGCAAAGAAGCAATATCTGTTCATGTTTTTTGTTTATATTTCTATTCATTTTCACAAAATAAAGATTCTAAATTTTAACGTCCTTAATTTTTGAATGAGCATGAACGACGTTATCAAGTATCAAATAATGTCCATAAATGTTCGCCATATTATGTATAATATGCATGGTTAAGTCGCACATGTAGTTGTTTCGTTTAGTTTTGTTTAGAACGTATTTGTGAGATTGGATTGTTTGAAACTTTCAATTGTACCTACGTTGTTTATTAATTTGATAACTGTGTTTTTGCATTCGTAATTTTTAATATTCGTTTAATCTTGATTACTTTTAGGCACATAAATAATTTAAATAACACTCACCTGGTGAAAAATATAGGAAAGGAACCACAAATTTCTATCATGTCTTTGTTCAATTATGATTATCTTTATTCATGCAAAGTTGAAGAAAATTCTGTCTACAAAATTAAAATTTTCTGCTTTGACTATACAAAACAAATACGTTTTGTAGTTACTTTATAAAATGTTTTTATTTTGTTCAGGTGATAACATACATGCTTTAAGTTTTAATGAAAGCGGACACAAATCCCGAGACATATGCTGCTTAATAGTAAGTTACAAATACTGAATGTTATGGTTATTACAAATTGTTGTGTTACTTTATTTTAAGGTGTATGTTAGCATGACAAAAGCAGTCAATCGATCAGCAAAACAAGGGAATGAATTGAGTTATATAAATCAGAAACAAAACTGAAATAAAAGTATAATGCCTGCTGTCAAACATAATTCTTCATGACATGTACTTGAATAAGAGTTTAGTATAAGAATTCTTTTATCGAAAATCTCGGAGATCTGGGAGTCTTGGAGAAGGGTAGGTGCGATGGAGGGACGGTGGGGGGACCTCTACATATCTACATTTGACGTTACGTAAATTTCAACAAATTCACCCCGCGTGTTACCTTTTTAATTTTTTACACTTTTGGCTAAGTGTTGTCGCCTGCAAAACAGTTTATTACAAACATATTTGACAAATCTGAGTATAATTAAATAGATTTAGGTTTCACATTTCACCCCTAAACAAAACATAATGGACTCAACCAAAAACAAGCGTCTCTTTCTTTATCTAATGATGTATTTACATGACCATGATCAGAAAATGTAAACCTGGTCTAAGACCAAAGCTATTGTAAAAATAATACTATGACCACAGCAGATTTCGTACAGAAAAAAACGTAATAGCAGTACATCACACGTTTGGAAAAAATAGAATAATCCTGGTATGACGTCATGAACGCAAAAGACGTTAGATATATCAGACGTTAGATATATAAAAAAAACATTGTCAAGTTTGACGCTAAATTGTAACATGTATTATTTTTCTATTAGCAACAGATTCTAAAGGACAGAAACACGAGAGTAGAGAGCATGGTAAACTTGAATCAGACAGCTCTGTCGCCAAGTTGGACTTACAATTTATAACAAATCATTCGCGGCAGGTATAAAATATGTGTTGCTGTTGTTATTTGCCTGCTTATTTATTTATTTATTTATTTATTTATTTATTTTGCTGACTTCATAACCTTTTAATAATTCCGGTTTATTTCTGCTCGCTCTTTGTTTCTTTTTTAGGGCACACGTATTATTTTACGTGAGACAAATCTGCTGATGTGTCTTAATTCAGATTGTCACCATTCCATATTTAAATGATGAATTCTGCTTTAGGCGGTGCTAGGCGGCGCGGACGGTAGATTTGCATTCACAACAACCGCCATGAATACGTTCGAATCGATGATGTGTCATAAAAAATAACTTAGCATAGCCTTTTACTTCTTGAAATACAAGTCTGTTCTAATTACGACTTATACATTATTTAAAACACAATTCACGCTTTGAGTAAACCAACAGAAATCTTTACTTATTCTTCACGTGTATACATTTCCTGTTTGCAAAGCGCATTCCATTTTTCGAAATAAGAATATGAAGTTTTCATAAAATATGATGGTTTCCTTATTGTAAAGTTTTCATATAATGTTTATTTGTTAAATATGCGTAAAAGAAAATTGTATGAATGCTATTTTGGTATAGAGAGGGAGTGTTTGTCAAAACAATTAAATTATGTGTGTTATAGGACCAAATCTTAACTGACAAATAGAACAGTTGTTATAGTTAGATGATGTTGTTTTTGGTGTGTATTTTTATATTGTTTAGAAAGACACATTTAAAATTTAAATATGTTGTATGTTTTTACTATGGTGTTCCGCGTTACTTTCTTTAAAGATATACTATGCTCATCCTTTAGTAAAATATTTCTTATCACAGAAATTTATTGAAATATATATGAAATACTTCCTGAATATGTCTTATTTGAATAAAAGAATATATAAACTATGTATGGGAGGCTGCTTTCCCTATTACATGTCAAGAAAAGTTGATCTTTTCTTTTAAAAAAGCCAGTTTTTTTAATGACGATAATATTCATAGTGTGACCACCTATAATGTGTAGATTTTAAAACATATATATTTACTTTGAAGTCAAAACATGTTTATTTTATATTTATAAAGAGACTGTGTAGAATTATCAATATTTTCAAATATCAATATTTTCTCCATAGTTATCTTTAAATAAAGATATTATTATTATATTATATGACGGTTTCCTGACTGTGTCAAAAACAATGCCGACCGCCGTGTTTAGAGGTCGGGCGACATGGACGTGACCCTATAACTGGAACAAGATGAAAATAAGATGACTTATTTTATTCTAGAAGAATCTGCTTTCCTGCAAAGTTGCATCGATATCAATAGGCGCCAATATCTAAATAACAAAAAAATCTAATCTGAAATATGGTCAACCTTTTACACGCAATGCCAATTTTCAAGATGCTTCTCGATAGTCCGCAAAGTGTCGCATTCTACCTAATGCCTCCATTTAGTGCGATCATGGGGTGTAAGACGACTGATTTCTGTTCGATTTGATCAGATGTTTGAACACAAATAAATTCATTTTATTCATTTATTTACAAAAACTAGACCATTTTTTTTGTCAATCTTAGTCGCTTTTTTCAAATAAAATAACGGCTCTGTAACGATATTTGTAAAATTGTCTCTCTTTCAAATTGTTATTCAAGTATAATGTTTAATATTTTGGATGAAGAATGTTTGTGTTAAATTAAATCTATTAAAAATGAAAATAACAAAAGTATTATTATCTTTAACGTATACATTTGTTTTGTATTTGTAAAATGATTCAATATATATAATTTGCATTGTAACTGTTGTTCTTGTGTTTTGTTTCGACAAAAATATTTTACAAGAATATCCAACTTATGAAAGTTGAAAAGGTGCCTTTTGTAGACCAATTCACTTTGATGTACTTACAAACGACTTTTTCATTTGGTGGTATACTTAATAAAGTACCTGATTTTGAAAATGTAGTTGACTTCTTTTATTTTTGTCTGATTTTAAGCTCTGATAGTACATATTGGTATAAAAATAAAGAAACAAAAAAATAAACATCCATGATTTTAATTTTCGCACGGAAGAATAAAAATTTCATTTGACTTTCGTAATTTATACGTAAGATTTTTTTTCTAAAATTTTTTGTCTACTAAACACTTGAAGTGTATGTAACATAACGTTAAGAGTATTAAAGATATGAGTATGTTGTGTATCCATCCATCCATCCATCCATCCATCCATCCATCATTCATTCATTCATTCATTCATTCATTCATTCATGCATTCATGCATTCATTCATTCATTCATTCATTCATTCATCCATCCATTCATTCATTTATTCATTCATTTATTCAATAATTCAATCAATCAATCAATTATTCATTCATTCATTTATTATTCATTCATTCATTCATTCATTCATTTTAATCAATTAATTAATTAATTAACAATTTAATTTTATTTATTTATTTATTTATTTATCAATTTACAAATGTATTTTTTGCAACCTAATACTACCGTTGGTAACCAACTGTGTGTATTTTCAGGCTCCTAGTTTCACTCGAGAGTGAATATGTAACATTCACAATAGCTGGATACCATATTACTTATTTTTCAATGAATTAACCATTTAATGTTTAGGTTTTTTTGCAACAAAATATTTTTGCAAATTCGCTTAACCTGATCTTATAATAAATTAAGTTTTGCAATAATTTTTATTTAGAAGAAGAAAATAGGTACAATATCGGATGTCCGTGAAGTACGCGGGCTAACGGGCTAGCAGTCTAGCGGGCTAACAGTATGAACTGAGCGGGCTAGCAGTCTAGCGGGCTAATAGTGTGAACTGGGCGGGCAAGCAGTCTAGCGGGCTAACAGTGTGAACTGGGCGGGCTAGCAGTATAGCGGGCTAACAGTGTGAACTGGGCGGGCTGGCGGGCCAGCAGGCTAAAATCTAAAACTTTATTTATTGAACATAAAAATGTTATGATACAGTACCTGGCAGTGTGAAGTGGGCGGGCTAAAAGTGTAGCGGGCTAGCAGTGTGAACTGGGCGGGCTGGCGGCCAGCAGGCTAAAATCTAAAACTTTATTTGATTCAACATGAAAACGTTATGATACATTACCTGGAAGTGTTAAGTGGGCGAGCCAACAGCGTAGCGGGATATCAGTGTGAACTGGGCGGGCTGGTGGGCCAGCGGGCTAAACTTTAAAACTTTACTGAATGAACATGAATACTTTATGATACATTTCCTAGCTGTGTTAAGTGGGCGGGCTAACAGTTTAGCGGGATAGCAGTGTGAACTGGGCGGGCTGGCGGGCCAGCGGGATAAAATCTAAAACTTTATTGATTGAACATTAAAACCTAATGAAACATTTCCTAGCAGTGTGAATTGGACGGGCTGACAGTGTAGCGGGCTAGCAGTGTGAACTGGGCGGGCTGGCGGGGCAACGGGCTAAAATCTTAAACTTTATTGATTGATCATAAACACGTTATGATACATTACCTGGCAGTGTGAAGTGAGCGGGCTAACAGTGTAGCGGGCTAGCAGTGTGAACTGGGCGGGCTGGCGGGCCAGCGGGCTAAAATCTAAAACTTTATTGATTGAACATTAAAACCTCATGATACATTTCTTAGCAGTGTGAATTGGACGGGCTGACAGTGTAGCGGGTTAGCAGTGTGAACTGGGCGGGCTGGCGGCCAGCGGGCTAAAAATCTAAAACTTTATTGATTGAACATGAAAACGTTATGATACATTACCTGGCAGTGTGAAGTGGACGGGCTAGCAGTGTAGCGGGCTAGCAGTGTTAACTTGGCGCCTGGCGGGCCAGCGGTCTAAAATCTAAAACTTTATTGATTCAACATTAAAACCTCATGATACATTTCCTAGCAGTGTGAATTGGACGGGCTGACAGTGTAGCGGGCTAGCAGTGTGAACTGGGCGGGCTGGCGGGCTAAAATCTAAAACTTTATTGATTGAACATTAAAACCTCATGATACATTTTCCTAGCAGTGTGAATTGGACGGGCTGACAGTGTAGCGGGCTAGCAGTGTGAACTGGGCGGGCTGGCGGGCTAAAATCTAAAACTTTATTGATTGAACATTAAAACCTCATGATACATTTCCTAGCAGTGTGAATTGGACGGGCTGACAGTGTAGCGGGCTAGCAGTGTGAACTGGGCGGGCTGGCGGGCCAACGGGTTAAAATCTAAAACTTTATTGATTGAACATAAAAATGTTATGATACATTACCTGGCAGTGTGAAGTGGGCGGGCTAACAGTGTAGCGGGCTAGCAGTGTGAACTGGGCGGGCTGGCGACCCAGCGGGCTAAAATCTAAAACTTTATTGATTCAACATTAAAACCTCATGATACATTACCTGGCAGTGTGAAGTGGGCGGGCTAACAGTGTAAAGGGCTAGCAGAGTGAACTTGGCGGGCTGGCGGGCCAACGGGCTAAAATCTAAAACTTTATTGATTGAACATAAAAACGTTATGATACATTACCTGGCAGTGTGAACTGGGCGGGCTGGCGGGCCAGCGGGCTAAAATCTAAAACTTTATTGATTCAATATTAAAACCTCATGATACATTTCCTAGCAGTGTGAATTGGACGGGCTGACAGTGTAGCAGGCTAGCAGTGTGAACTGGGCGGGCTGGCGGGCCAACGGGCTCAAATCTAAAACTTTATTGATTCAATATTAAAACCTCATGATACATTTCCTCGCAGTGTGAATTGGACGGGCTAACAGTGTGGCGGGCTAGCAGTGTGAACTGGGCGGGCTGTCGGGCCAGCGGGCTAAACTTTAAAACTTAATTGAATCAACATAAAAACCTTACCTATACATTTCCTAGCTGTATAAGCTCGGTGAGCTAACAGTTTGTAAATGTGCTAGCAAGTCTAGTGGTCTAAATTCCATACCTAATTATTTTAACACAAAGCGTTTTTGATGGATTGTTTGCAGTGTGAATCGGGCGGAGGCAACAATGATTGTTTCATATATATACCACGATCCTTGAGAGTACACTAAAATGGGTTTTA